TGTGTTAGACTGACGTGATAACCAACTACACCACGACACCTACTTGTTGAGCATTTATGGCAATAAATTTATATATATATGTATATATAATAAAACAGGAATATATTTGAATCGCATATTTTCTACCTCAAAACCATCNGTATACTTTTGGAATTAAATATATATATATATGTATATATAATAAAACAGGAGTATGTTTAAATTTTATCCTAGTCATATTTTCTCCCTCAAAACCATCATCAATCATTTACTTCACTCATTATCCATTTGTCAGATTCAAACGTCAAATCGCATCTCTTATTTCTATCATATGTTTAATCATTTATATATTTCTTTCCTAAAAATATCACATNGAGCATTTATGGCAATAAATTTATATATATATGTATATATAATAAAACAGGAATATATTTGAATCGCATATTTTCTACCTCAAAACCATCATTAATCATTTATCTCACTCATCATTCATTTGTCAGATTCAAACGTCAAATCGCATCTCTTATTTCTGTTATATGTTTAATCATTTATATATTTCTTCCCTAAAAATATCACATTACTCATTTTTATCATATATTTAATCATTTAATATTTGATTAATTTGTAGTTAATATATTTTGAAAAAAATTAATATAATAAGATTAATTTTTTGGACGCTCGAATTTTATATTTTATCGTGTCTTCATGTACGGATTAGAACTAGTATATATATACTAACATTTGAATTCCATTTCCATGTTTTTATTAGATCAGTTATTATTTCTACAAGAAAGTTAAATCATTTAATTTTTAATTAATTTATTACTTAATATAATTTTTATTTTAAATATTATTTATATACTATAATATATACATATTAATTTTTTTTAGATTTTGTATTTTAAAAAAAATGATCTTGCAATTTAAAAAAAAGTTATTATTTAATATAATAAAATGAGTTTTTGATGGCTTGGATTTTATGTAGACACGATAATTGATAGTATATATATAGCGCCATAATTAACATAAATTCCCCGCCAAGCNTTAACTTGCAATTTAAAAAAAATTATTATTTAATATAATAAAATGAGTTTTTGATGGCTTGGATTTTATGTAGACACGATAATTGATAGTATATATATAGCGCCATAATTAACATAAATTCCCCGCCAAGCAGTGCTGAAAAGAGCTCTGATCTGCTCCTCTATTCTCTCTCTATCCTCGCTAGGGCCTATGGTTTATCAGACATGGTAGGTCCTGAGCTAGGCCTGTCGCTCGACGATCTGAACAAGACGTACAAGACACCTGCTGGTGACAGAGGCAGCTTCTGTGGCAGTGATCGATCTGGACCCAGCCCCGCTCGCCGCTTTCCTATCCGTGGTGCTAATCGAACTCCAACCTACCNTGCTCCTCTATTCTCTCTCTATCCTCGCTAGGGCCTATGGTTTATCAGACATGCTAGGTCCTGAGCTAGGCCTGTCGCTCGACGATCTGAACAAGACGTACAAGACACCTGGTGGTGACAGAGGCAGCTTCTGTGGCAGTGATCGATCTGTACCCAGCCCCGCTCGCCGCTTTCCTATCCGTGGTGCTAATCGAACTCCAACCTACCTCATCGCTACGGTTTGATCCTCTCTCTCTTCGATCCATATATCTGCTTACGGATTATACGAGCATAGCTATTTGTTTTATGTACACGGTTATTTTTCTTGATTTGATTTCTTATGGAGTGTTTGGTTTGTCAATGTTGTCATTTGTGAAAATTTATCGGTCGTTCACGCACCAGATTCGGCGACGAAATGTTCGGTGCAGATCAAACCAAGGCGTATCCGGCACAGAGGGCGGTGGTCGAGCCTCGTCTATTAATACTGGAGCGTAGCTTTCTATATCTCACCTCGATTATGGTGTCTCCGGCGAAGACGTCACGGTAATTCTTACGATTTATTTTGTCATTATTTTTCCATTTTTCTTGATGCGTATGTTCTGAAGTGAAATTTTACATCCTTAATTGCAAGGTCTCTCCTGTGGCTGCACAAAGTATTACTTAGTCTGATTTATGAGTAGTTTTTTACGTTTGTAATGTTTGAATCTGGCTTTAATTACGAACTTCTGGATATTTTGCCTTTTTATGTCAAGCTATGTGAACCTGAAATGCATGTGGAGTCCCAACCACTATTATTTTTTTAATTTTTTTTGGGAGAGGGGGAGGGTGGAGGGAATTTGAAAAGTAACATTGGATCAAATGGATGTTATGCTAAGGATTTTTGCAAGGCCGGCCCAACAACATACTTAGAAAAGCTTGGACTTTAGGCACCATTTCAAAGGGAGGTTCCAAATTTTTAAATGTAAAAATTGGAGGTGAGTTCCCCTAGATGTATTTGTTTGGAGATAAGTCCGACAAAGACACTTATGAGGGGCTAAGGTTCATGTTTAAAACTATATGTAATGACTTAAGTCTATTTTTTTTTTTAATCTCAAAAACACCCCTAACGGTGTTAATTTTGATTAATTATGGAAAATCATAGATTAGATGTTTGAGATATATATGGTAATAGATTGTTTAGTTTTTATGGAAACCGAATATATCATATTATGATGGTTGAATTAATATAAAATTATTGCGCTATTAATTTAAATTAAGATCAAAAATTTTCATTAACAATTCAAATTCAAAATCTGAATCACAGAACATCAAAGTAAAACCAAACGCTGAGGGATATATGTTGAACATACATCTTTAGTTTTTAAAGTAAAACCAAAGGTTGTGATCAGTAACATATCCACAGTAACATCCACANGAAAACCGAATATATCATATTATGATAGTTGAATTACGATAAAATTATTGCGCTATTAATTTAAATCAAGATCAAAAATTTTCATTAACAATTCAAATTCAAAATCTGGATCACAGAACATCAAAGTAAAACCAAACGCTGAGGGATATATGTTGAACATACATCTTTAATTTTTAAAGTAAAACCAAAGGTTGTGATCAGTAACATATCCACAGTAACATCCACATTACTGAAGCACATTAATACATTGAAATTATGAAATTAAATTTTTAGTTATCACATAGTAACATGATCTATTTTCATGTTACTTTGAACCAATGAATTTTGAATGTCTTAAACAACGAACAAAGCAACAAAAAATGTTCACATGTAATTATATAACACATTAATTTAGTAAAAGTAACATGAAAAGTTCCACCAAGTTACATGATGTACACATAGTAACATGAGGATAGTAACATTAAAATTATTTACTAAATCACAGAAACATCATCTTGAGTAACATCAGACAANAAAGTTCCACCAAGTTACATGATGTACACATAGTAACATGAGGATAGTAACAATAAAATTATTTACTAAATCACAGAAACATCATCTTGAGTAACATCAGACAAACACAATTTATAGTACACATGTTACAATTTTATGGTTTAAAGATTATTCTATACATAACATTGTCCAACCCCAATATTCACTTTTTCACTTTCAATTGCAAACTTTTTAAACATATATTATGTAACACACAATTTTAATTTTTCGCCATAACATCAAAGTATTTTGTTCAGTAACACATCGATTTTCACAAATTACAAGGCTATATTGTGTTCACAGTAATATCAAATTTCGAAATATTATAGTAAAAATACAATTCAATAATTGAAAATTTATAAAATTTCTAATAGTAACTTCGCCAATGGAACTTGAAGAGTAGAATCTATTTTTGTTCTTATAGTTGGTAACCTCTTTGAATTTTGAATTGAAGCGGTTTAGGTAATGACGGTTAAGGGTTTTTGGAGAAGGAAACCCAAAAAGATTTGAGGAATTTTTGCCGGATTTGTAGGATGGAATGAAGTGGGAAGTTTCTATGTAAAGTGACAAGAATGCAGGGTTTCTCCGCTTGATATAGAAACGGCAATTTAGACGCCGTTTGTGGATTTTCAAAAAATAAGGGTACAATAGTAAACTTGACAAAAAGTGGACTTATAATCAAATAAGTGTTCTTATAAGACTTATCTCCAAACAAGTCCATCTAAGGGGACCGGCTTTCAAATTTTCCTTTTTAAATATCATAAATAACCCATGTGGAAAATGCCTTATAAAAATATAAATCCAATCAATCATTTAGGCTAATAGTCTAATCCAAATATTAAATATCCAAAAAAATTAACAGTTAAAAAGCAAATTGAACTCAAAAGTCACCTCAAATTAAAAAAAATTAAAAAGTAAAATTATTACTTTTAACTTTCTCTCTTTCGGTAAACTAAAACAAAAAAGAAACTCTCTCTCTCAGAGTGCTCTCACAAGTCACAGTAAAGCCAACCAGTCAAGCCTCCATTGGCCATTGCAGCATCTGAGACGGTTAGACCATCATCCATCGTTGACTCCATTGCAACATAAAGGGCATGGTTCAAAATCAAAAGTCAACATCTTAGACCATCTAAGGTTCTATTGTTTTATAATTTTAAATTTTTTTGTGTTCTTTGCTTTCTTCTTAGTTTTCGAAAAAAAAAATCTCTGTCTTAAATTCAAGGTTGTGTTATATATTTTATCTATACTATATATTGTGTTTTTGTATTTATTTGTGTTTGTTTGTTTGTTATATAGTTATAATATATTAATAATATGACACCTAGAACACAAAATTAAAAGTAATAGAATCTCAAAAATAATTTTTTGATAAATTTGTTACTAGTAACAAAAATAATATAACAAAAAATTTAGATGAAAATTTTGAAAATGAACAAGNTATTACTAGTAACAAAAATAATATAACAAAAAATTTACATGAAAATTTTGAAAATGAACAAGTAAATAATGAAATAGAAGAGAATACAATAAAAAATATTGAAATAAAAGATAATGAAATAGAAGATAATGAAATAAAAAATATTGAAATAGAAAATATTGAAATAAAAGATAATAAAATAGTGGATAATGAAATAAAAAATATTGAAAAAAAAAATAGTGAAATAAAAGATAATGAAATGGTGGACTAATACGATGGACAGTATGTTTCAAACTTCTATCTTGAGATGGTGCTGGCATGGAGTCTAAAGCCGAGAGGATGGAATTTAGAGTGGACTATTAAGGCAGTTGGTGTTTAAGGTTTCTAAATGACATGATGCTTAGAATGCAAGGGACAGGAGGCATTTGATATTGCATGTGGCTGTGTCGGGTGCATGCATTCTAAAAAAGAACAAACAATTTGATCAAGAAATACATTGAAGTTGGGGAAGATGATTTCTTCTTTTTCGTTTCCTTCTTTTTTTGGAAGTTCAACCCAAGAGAAGGCAGTCTTGAATGGTGTTTACCTTTTCTCTTTACTCTTGTGGCAGGGTTCTTGGATGGCACATCCGTTTTCTTCTAAGAATTGACTCAATTAATGTATTTGTTTTGTTGTGCTACCTTCTTATGGCTCTTTTTTTCAGAACTTAGTCTATGATATTTACATCTAACCAGGATTTTTTTGCCCCAGTATTGATTTTTTTTATATGTTGGGATTTGGCTAGTTGCTCATAATTATTGGTTTTTTTTGGTGATAGTTATGATAGTTACACTAGTCTGCTCTAGCAGTTTCCTGTGAACTTGGTTTTTCTACGTATATTCCATTCAGTGTTTACAGTAAAAACATAAACAGCTATCCACCGGCCTACTCCTTTCTAACCAAGAATTGTCTATTTAATACGTTATGCTAGGAGTTGGAGATCGAAGGTCTCTTATGAAGTTTTTCATATTGCAATCTTCTGAAGATTCTTTGCGTTCTGTGTTTTAGAAAAAAAGCACTTCCCTAGGGAATGCCAGAGATTGTCTTCTCATGAAGGCAAGATGCTTTATCCGCTTTCAAGAGCTACAACAATGTTCAGCTTGATGGAAAGCCAATGAAAATTGAGGTTGTGGGAACAAATACCATGACTCCTGCTGCTGGCCTCCATCTGCAAATGGTTCCTTTGAAGGTACAAGTGGGATTCCCAAAAGGTATGGACTACAGGTAGCTTAATGTCTCCATCCATTCTGGTATTTTTGAATGTAAGTAGGATGATCTTGGAATTTCCTGAAGGTCTTGTTGTTTGCCTTGCTTGGGATTGTTATACACTTGCATTGTGACACTAAGTTTGGTTGAATCAACTATGTTACACTAGCATTAAATTTGTAGGAATGACACACAGTAGATAAAGAACAGCATATTTGTTTCAGCGTAAAATCACAAAATTATTGTCAGATATCTATCCTTGCATCGGGGTATTCCTTAAAAGAACTATAAAAGCGAAAGTGTGACAAAAGGTGAAAAGAGTAGTTTTCTGTCCTACGTTGCTGGTAGTAAGTTTTGTCATCGAGGCATGACTTTTGGGCTGCCCTTTAAGCTGATCTGCCAGGTTCATTATAATGCAATGTTCGACACTCAACCTTAGATGTCCTGTATTGGAAGTTGTATGATGCTATATGTTTCTGCACACGAGACATTGCACGATGCAGTGATTCTGTGGTGCATTTCTTTAGGCTTTTTGAAATTACTACTTATATTTTCAGATTAGAATTAACTCCTCTCTTCTGGTAGAAATTCCGATGCTCTTTTTTTATATTTTTATGTTTATAATACAGTGGACAAAGAAGTGGTCCCTTGGAAGGTCACATGGTCGTGGTGGTCGAGGCCATGGATTTGGAAGGGGCTGTTGACGGGGAAGGGGCCGTAGTGAGAAGATATCTGCGGAAGATCTTGATACTGAATTGGAGAAGTATTACTAAGAAGCAACGCATACATATTGAATTCTTCCCTCAGGTTTATTGGTTGGCTTCTTTTCACCTGCTGTAGTCATTGTGTGCATGATGATGTAGCAAGCCCCCTATTGTGTGTATTTCTACCGAAATCCAACTCTCTAGAGTAACAAGGATGAAACACTCGTATGGAGACCATTACAAGTTTGGATTATGGGGCGTGGGCTTTATTTTTTATTCTTCCTTTCATTTGGGTTTAGAACGTCGGTTGATGGACAGAGGCACGTATTCAGCCCCTGGACTTTGATACTCGGACGTATGAAAGTGGGAGCTAATTCTGCTTCATTCACCAGTCATTCAAATAACATTGCCCTGAGGTAGTTTTCTAAAATTGGAATCTCCGCAGATTGATAGATTCTAAGATTTGACACACACTGAAGATTTTAAGTGTCATAGGATTGCAACAGACACTTGACTATACCCATTACGTGAATGAATGTTACCACAAATTGATCTGCTGTATAAGAAAGTTGGGAGTCTCGTAACAGCCATGTAAAGTGCAGGATCACGTCTAGTGAAAGATAACATTGCCAGACTGGTGAATGAAAAAATTAATGGCAATAGTTGGTGCTAGCTTTCATCAGATGAGATGCCTTCTCCAAGTCATAGCTCAGCANTCGGAATCTCCGCAGATTGATAGATTCTAAGATTTGACACACACTGAAGATTTTAAGTGTCATCGGATTGCAACAGACACTTGACTATACCCATTACGTGAATGAATGTTACCACAAATTGATCAGCTGTATAAGAAAGTTGGGAGTCTCGTAACAGCCATGTAAAGTACAGGATCACGTCTAGTGAAAGATAACATTGCCAGACTGGTGAATGAAAAAATTAATGGCAATAGTTGGTGCTAGCTTTCATCAGATGAGATGCCTTCTCCAAGTCATAGCTCAGCATTTCTCCAGAGCCGTTTGGAACCCAAATCGCGGGGATTAGTAACCCCACTTGTAACGTGGAGGTTCCCAGTTTGAGTCCCCCCTCTCCCCTGTATTGCTACTATGTCCGAGGAAAAAAAAATCAGTGTCAATTCCAGGTTGAAGTAATGAGATGCCTAGAAGATCTAGCCTATACCTTACATAAACCTTTCGCTATTTTTTGTTTGATCAACCTCCCTTTTGTATTCTCAAGATAAATCGTCATTAGCATGCATATAATAGACGGACGGCCCCTATTCAACATTTCTCATAACGTGTTATACGTTGTTGTAGGTAGGGGGGAGAGAGAGAGAGAGAGGCTAAAACTGAAGAAAGGGCAAGACTACAAAAAAAGACACCCATTTGATGCATTAAACTTGGCAACAGCAGTACTGGTAAGTCCAAAACCATAGTTCTAACTTGTTTATTACAGGTAATCAATATTTCAACAACTGTCGGGAGTGTCACATGTACACCAGAAGCTATACACACCAAAGTCTGATCTTTTAACTAATAATATCTGTATACTTTTTTTCAAAGAAAGTTCATCTATCTACTCACAGGGAGCTTGGTATATGAAATCGTGGGATGTACATCGATAATTGCTAGGGCCTCTTCAACTTTTCCCAGCCACCAAATATCAACCTCAATAGGGAATACATCACAGCCCGGATGCAAGACATAATGAAGTTCCAACAAGATGAGGGCCAGCACCATGGATACAGCAAGCGGAAAAAGAGGCTTATAAGATGCCGTGGGTAACGCCCAACCTGAACCAAACCATTAATTCTAAGCTATAAAAGACCAGCCAATGTATGGAAAAAGTGGAAAGGTGAAAAATCTAATAGCCCTAGTTAAAAATTTACAAACATGAAAATGAATAGAAATTGGAACGGACGCTTGCAACTCAAACTGATTCCTACAGCTAGGTACGCCCTTTAATAATAACACCGTTGGGACATAAACTTTGCCAAGGCAGAATATGATCTAGTCCATGTCAAAGCAATACATGGCCAAATGACCATGAAAGACTTGTTATTCAATCAAGCTAATTAGAAAGGAGTGNAATAGCCCTAGTTAAAAATTTACAAACATGAAAATGAATAGAAATTGGAACCGACGCTTGCAACTCAAACTGATTCCTACAGCTAGGTACGTCCTTTAATAATAACACTGTTGGGACATAAACTTTGCCAAGGCAGAATATGATCTAGTCCATGTCAAAGCAATACATGGCCAAATGACCATGAAAGACTTGTTATTCAATCAAGCTAATTAGAAAGGAGTGCAGTGTAATATCAGGAAATGGTGTCCTTGTATTGAGACCAACTATCCTAATCCCTCACCCTCTTGATTCCCTTCTGTGTTATGTACCTCTACCTCAATTTATAAAGGTGTCTGAAGGTCATTTCATGTCACATAGTAAACAATTTGTCACACACTGTTTTGCTCGACCCCAGGATGTCTGCAGGTATCCAAGACTCTCAGCAATAATACCAA